TTAATTCGTCTAAAACAATGAACGAAACTTATTTATTTAAGTCATCCGTGCTGCCCACAAACGCTTAACCATGGCAAACAAGCGTGCAAGTGAAAGATAATCAATAACACTTCCCTTCAATTGATTTAGATATTTACGCGGCTTAATAGTATATAAATGTATGTATCGCAGCACTGTGCAGCCACATTGTTGTGTTGCATTTTTTATGAGCTATTGCAAACCGCGAACGGACATTATGCAAGTGAATTGCTCATTATCGCATTTGGTTTGGTTTGTCTCTGGCATTTGAATGCGTTTTCAGAAATCCCTTTTTAATGTTTGTGCAATCCCTTTTAATGCGCACAATTAATTCCGTTATGCTTTGTCGCCTTTGAACCCGCCGCCGCATCATTCGTGTAACAATTTGCTAAAATGTCGGGGCTTAGAGCTTTATTCGAATGGGTTTAGGCCAAACGCCGCTTTAAAATTCTCGCACTGCAGCATTGCATAATTATGACCGACTCACAGCGGCGAAATTTTCCAAATTTTCGCATGCAGCCAAACGTAATTAAAATTATTTCATTTTCAACCTAAATATCCGCTCACACGCTAACACACATGGCCGGAGATGGAGATACAGGAAAACATTGAAAATTAATTTTCATCTAAGCCCGAAACGCGCCGCTCGGCATCGAAAAACCATCAACAAATTGTCAGGCTTTTCATTTATTTGCTGATTTTATTTGCCATTTTTGGTCGGTGAGGCCTGACAAAATGTTCGTGCCCATGTTTACACCAAAACGTGTCCAGAAATTTGCCAAATTTTATTCCGACATTATTGGCTTGCCTTGGTGATTGGATATGGTGGGCTTTCGATTTGGCAAAAGATTAATCAAACAGACTTTGATTGTGGCCTGACAAAGAGTTAATGAATTGCCCAGCAGGCAAATTGCTAATTATAAAACTCATACGCTTAAGCTTCTATTCCAATAGCCCTTGGCATTGGTGGCATGTAACACCAACCAGGCTATAATGATAATCGTAATATTATGTCTGTGCAGGCCATCATTTATTTATTATTCTATCTCCTTTTATTCGAAGTACTTTATTTAAATATGTGCATAACTTCTGGACAGATGCACCCAAAGCACCTGCAGCATCCTTGAAAAAAGAAAACTTATATAAATAAAGAAAACCCAAAATTTATATATATGTATGTACAAAAAAGATGCCAACGTACAAAAGCATTTTTTTCTTACTATGCTCTTCGCTTCTGACTGCATATTTCATAGCAAAACAAGAAGGAAAACTGCTAAAAAAAATTTAAAAAAAAATACAAAAAGTGCTGGAAAAACGAAAAAAAGAAAATGCTAAACAAAGAAAATAAAAGCAGGCGGCAGCGTGCTATACAAAAAATGGGCGCAAGGCAAAACTAAAAGCCAAAAGAAAAATGCCGCGCTTTTGGCCAAGAGTAGAGTGCTCCGCCCAGGGGTCAGGGGTCACGGAGAGGGGTTCACTTCGCATTATTTTGTATTACAGCATCCCCAGTACCCCAGTACATTCACCACTACTAGACTACCAGACCCCACCGAACCGCCGGCCCAGCTTGTATTGCAATTTTTCAATTTCAAAAACAATTTTGCTCTGCCAACATACGTGTGGTCAAAGATAAGCTCTGTAAATATATATAACAAAACAACCAAGCTGAATATACGGCCAGCGAGAAGGGGCCGCATATAAAAAATCTAAAAACCTAAAGCGCAGCTCGCCATAAAAAAGCCAAAAAGCAAAGCTAACCGCAGCTCAAGCAGCTATTGCTGCAGCTCAAAACTGGCCAAAGCCAGAAAGGCGGTCAGCTCAAAAAAAGAAGAAAGAAATCCAAAAAATAAAAGCTATATGGGTGCTGTATGGGTGCAATATGGGTGCTATATGGGTGCTAGATGGTTGTTGCACGTATGTGCTGGTGTGGGTGAGTGTCAGCTTGCAACACAGCGGGAAATTGCACAAAAATGAATTGTGTTGTGCAGCATTTAGTGCTGAAATATAAGTGACCCGCTGGGCGGGACAACTGAAAAGGAGGGTCGCTGCGATTCCAGCGGCTTCTGGGCCACTGCCAGGCTTCCTCAGCTTTGTGGCGGCATTGATTGAATTTTCCTTGCCACTGGCAGCTGAAACCAGGAAAAAGTTATGACTCCTGCATTTCGCATATAAATATCATTGAAATTTTGTGTAAGGAATTAAGGCATCTACACTTTTGTCGAAGTATGAGCAACATGTATATATTCTATTATATTCAGCAGGGGACAACTGAATTGTTTAATGAAAATACACCAATAAAGTTCTGTTCTACTAATCCATTGCTTCTTGAATTTGGCTTTAGTTGATATAAGCCAGGAAGTTGTGTTGCCCTTGACGGAAATGTTTTTCTTTTATTAACTCTTGTATTTAAAGTATCAACCAAATACTTCTTGTATATCCCAAGCTGCAAAAGGTAGAGCCATCTTTAGTGCACTCAATTTAGAATAAGACCCGTGTTGATTAATTCGAAACGGCTCCCCGAATGAAACCCTTTTTCCGTGAGCGATCCGTTGGAGAGTAAGTGCATCAGCCATTGGCGGAAATCGAATTCATTTGGGACTGTGGCCGTCCTGCGGCAACAGTGCGTATGTGCACTGTGCAATGTGGCTTTGCCAGTGCCAAATCGCAACGAAAGCGCCAAGCAAATTGACAAAAGCAGGGCGCCAGTCGTCGCCCAAAGGCACTCAGCGGTTGTGGCAGCAGCAATAACACAAAACCGCAAATCCCTAAGCCGCTATAACATTTCTCAAACGCTGCCAATGGGGGTTGCCCCAAAGGGGTGGGTGGCCGGAGGTCGCAGGCGGTGAATGTGTAGCCAATCGAGGCATCGAAACCGGCGTAAGCGTAAGCCGCTGACAGAAGCAGCTGCAGATGTAGCTGCAACTGCAACTGCATTTACAACCAAGGGAGCCAAGCCAAGCGGAGCATGGCGAAGGCAAACAAAAGCTTAGCGGGCATAAAAACAAAATGCCAAATGCGAAATGCGAAGTGCGCCCAGCCGAATGGGAGGACCCATGGAACTGGCAACTCCATCGTAACCCATCGCAATCCAAGTCCAATCCAAGCCAGAAGCAAATCAAAGCAAATGCAACACTCAATTGCCATTATCGACGACGCGAAGGCAGTTTTGCCTTTCCGCCAAGGGCTGCCTGCCTCTGAAAACAGAAATAGAAAAAATACCCCCAATGAAAATGTAACTGCTTTCAGCCCAAAGATCTCCGACGATTGCCCGCTTTTCCTGCCAGCGCTTTTATATTAAAAACCGCTTAATGGAGTGCAACTTATTGCATGTGCACTAGAAAGAGACGGCCAAGTTGGGCAGACTGAAAGGACCTTAGCGCAGAAGTGCAATAAAAATTAAATGAAATTGCCACTCGGCCCACCGGCAATAAAAATTCAGTGGGCAGTATATTCAGTCAAAAACAGATAGTTTTTGCATAAGTTAGCTCGGCTTTTACGAATAAATGCGGTTAGTTAATCATAAACGAAATGTTAGCTTACTCGGCTTACTACTTCAGAAAATGCTCTAACAACCAGATTTATCTCGTTATTTCATGAATGAATCGATAAGCACTACAGCTTATGCAGGAAGCGCTTCTTCAGTTTTTTCAACTTAGCCATAAAGTAAGCCATAATCTGGAGAGCGGTCTATGCTGATCACATTCTTGGCAATTGGCCCACACCCACAATACTCCAGGAGCTGTCATCTCGTATGCAGCACACTTTGCATCGCATGATGGGCCAAGTGGAGCAGTGACACCACCAACCACCAACCACCTTCCACCAACTGGCCACCTGGTCGAGCATGGGAGCCGAGAAGCGTAGGCAAGAAGCTGCTGCCTTTCTTGCTGTTCTTTAATTTGAAAAAATTGTCAAGCATCAAAATACTTTTAGAGCTTTCCTCAGCCCGAAGGTGGTACACACATAGGTGGAGACCAAGTTACTTGGGCAAGTTACTTGTCAGGCAGCCGCGTGCCGTGCGTGCAAATAAATCAAATAAATTATGGAAAAACCAAGGCAAAGTGTGAGAAATGGTGGCTCTTCGCCACCCCCCGTTCAATCCGTGGCCTATTCATATGCTTATGTTGTAAGAGAAATAAAAAATGTAAACGACGAGGAATGGAAAATCAGACTAAAAGAGTGAAAATTTCTGTTGGCGCTGGTGCAGCACCATCTGCTGGAAAAAAGGAGTAACACCGACCATAAAAAGTAGCAGAAACATCATAATCAACAGCAAAAAAATATTAATGGAGTTTTCATGTTTATAATGTCATTAGCTCACAAATGCTGCGGATGCTCTGGAAGCTTATGTTGCTTCTACTGTTGCTGTTGCCTTTGCTGTTGCTTTTGCTGTTGCACATGTGCCGTGATTTTGTGCCACATATTTTTCTGTGATTTTTTCACTCCTGCCACCTCCTTGGGTCGCACATCCTTTGCGCGCACACAGAGAGACAGCCGTAAACATGCAGCACACATACACACACACCCATAGACACATCTATAAATGTGCGAACACTAATGTGCACATTATGTTGGGGCCATTATGCCGGCTTCTCTGGCTCCAGCGGCTCCAGCAGCTCCACCATGGTCTCCATAAAGCCAAGGGGCCCAGCAGCTGCCCACCAGACCATGCACAATGAGTTGGTTTGGTGGTTTGGCTGCTTGGTTGCTGGGTTGCTGGGTTGCTTGGCGACGGGGTGGCGCTACCAGTTAGCAAGTAAAAACCCTTTAACTCATTTGTTTTGCTTAGCACATGAGCAGCTACAACAACAGCTACAGCAACAACCACTAGGGGCGGCTTGCAAAACAGGGGGCGTGTGAAACAACGTTTAGCTAGACATTATGGCTCAAGATGTACACACTCCCCTGACAAGAACTTTTCTTGATTTACCAACTGAAATACATTTAAAATGCGAAATTTTTAAAGAGGAAAATCTATGCCTATAGGCTACAAGAATAACTTATTAAACTTGTTGGCTGAGTATATTATTTAGTTATAAAACGTGTAATACATGTGTACACTTTACTCATCCTGAAAATCCGTCATCGAAGGCCCTCTGACAGGCAAATCAATTGGATCGCGCTGCTGGCCGTCACAAAATTTGAGTCCTGCGAAGTGTTCAATATCACGGATATCGGATAAAAACGAACGCAGATCCATATCATTGTCCAGATAGGCATTGGGCACAACATAACCTTCCATAATGGGCAAATCACTATTACACGTATTCTCCCTAATGATGATTTTGAAAAAGTGCGTTGGAACAGCAACCGTGTTCATGCCCATTACATGGTAACGAACGGACCAGTTCCTGAACGTAATCCTTTGGGGCATAAACATGGGACCGGTATAGACATGAACGGAACCGTATTCGAGCGCCATTTCCCGAACATAGTTTTCCAAACGGAACCAAATGTGGTTTTTGAGCCCACGATTAATGGGCACGATGTTGGAAAACTTGTAGGTCTCCAGGAACATAAGCACATCGCATTTGTAGTTTTGAGGAGAGGCCAAGTGTCCACCAACCCAATCGGTGTTCTTGAAGTCTCGCATATTTGCACTGAATGTCGTCGGTATGGTACTGTCTGCTATGTACGCATTTGGCTTATTTAAAGTCTTTTGATCCCTGGAAATTAGGCACTCGTCTCTGACGTGTTCGCATACCCAATGGGCAATACGATTGCGACGATCGTACGACAGCACAAAGTTTTTGTAGACGTGTATATCATCCATACCGGGAAATCCATACTTCATAATGCCAGCTACAAGTTCAAGTTTCTCATGTGGGTTTCCATCTGGCCCGACTAAAAATGTCATGTAAGACATCTTAAAAAATCCTTAGTCACAATCGATTTTTGCCGCACTTAATATTCGACTCACTGCTTTATGCGTCTTGGTCCGACTCCATAGTACAAAGTGGTCGAATATGGATACACTACCAGGATCTTGTCCTTCTGAAAATCCTTTGCTACTCCCATGCTCTTCTCCACCACTTTTTGACTGCTCAGTTTCTGCACTTGTAGTTGACTTTTTAGACGAATCCCCAAACATCGCTAACTAAAATAAAAGAGCTTTTAAATGCCTCATTATTATAAGATATGGCTGACTTACTGCCCTAAAAATTTGTCGACGGCATTGATAGACATACGGATCATTAACCATGACAGATTTAATTTTTCTAAATGAAATATGTTGTTGCACAATAGCTCCGAGAATAAAACAGGATACTCCCGATATTGCACACAATGCAACGGCTACATAAGTTGACATTGTCTGAATGCTTAAGTTAAGGTGTGCAAAACTGCACTTCGGCACTGTTGGACTGTATATAAATTAAAATAGACATATTTCTTTAAATTTACTGAATGAATTTTCGCCAAACAATTTTTTCATTACTAAATAGGTATCATTTATATATTTAATTTCTCACAATTGACAGTTTGAGCAAAAGTGTTCCTATTGCCTTAAATGTTCTTCATAGAAATATCTTCTAGGTAGAAAAATTTTATAATTACCATCAATTAAGCCAGAAACACCTTCATAAAGCTCTGCTTTATTTTTTCTTCCACTTAAACTGAATAAATGAACCCTACATATTCACATTTTAACACCACACACTAATAAATATTATGAGTAATGTGAACTTAATGACTTGCCATATATGTCAGCAAGTTTAAAGTTACTTCTCACTTATATGGAAGACATCTTCATTGAGCAGCTCAAGAAAGTTGTCTGCCTAAAGAAAATGAATTGTGCTAATTCACGTCAGAATCTTAAATCTCCTTTTCGCCCTCCAAAAACCCATTCCTTAACACCCAGAAGAAAAGCTAGAGTTTCCCGCCCCCATTCGCGACGTTTTTCTACTTTATAATGATAACATTTTCATGTTTTACAATGTTGTAATGCCTGGATATGAGTCCCCAAAGCGACATCCTGCGCCAGACGATGTTTTTATGACGTCATTTAGGGGTTAATGTGTGTGCGAGTGTGCGCGTCATGGTTGATTCATTAATTTTGAAAAGTTTTCAAAACTATTAACAGCAACAATCTTTCCACAGCGGCATTGCGCTTTGCGAGCCGAGCTACACGACTTTTCGTTGTCAATTAACATTTTCGCCAAGGAGCAGCAGCGCACGGTTGCATTATTAAAGAGCTCAATCAGCCTTGGAAGCGGAAACGGAAACGGAAGTGAATTTCAAGTTTTTATTCTTACACTTCCCATGGGGGAAACTTTTCGGGGCGGCGGAAGGGGGCGAAGTGCACGTTTACATCCGCGTTTAGTTTGCCTTTGTTTGAGGCCCAGAAAAGTTAGCGCATTTCATTTATTCATGCCTCCTTGACCAGTCCCCTTTCCCACTTCTCCCTGCCCCTCGCCCCACCGATCCATCTCCATTTGTTGCGCCTGCCCCTTCCCCTTTTGCTTGGAAGGAAACAGGAAGAGGCAGCATGTCGCGTCCTGTGCTAAATGTAATTTTCCGTTGTTAAATCCTGTTTTTCAAAACTTCTTTCCAAAGTGCAATGGAAGTCAGCTCGAGCAGACAACAAGCAAAACGTAACAAAAATGGAAGAAAGTGGAAAAACAAAAACCAAAACCAAAACCTGCAGTGCTACCAAGAAATATCAGGCAGTTGGTGAGAGAAATAAATTGCTTGGCACTCATCATCTCCTCAACTGCAGTGCGAACAGAGGCAATATTTTCAGATTGCACGATAAAATCTTTGCAAAAGTTTAGAGCTCATAGTTTGATTAATGCAGTTTAAGCAGGAAATCCATTTTGTATGCTTCACAGAGCACTTAGTCAAAATGCAATAAAGTACTTAGACTCTATGTGGTCTTCATTAAAACAAAAATTAATTGCTAATAGCCTTATTAATTGTTTATTCAATTTGCTTTTTAATGCCATGCATGTTAGCTATTTATTCCATAATCAACTGCATAACTGGCTGCCTTTGCCAAGAGTTCACCTCCTTTTCCCAAAGTTATGGTCCATGATGATGGTAAATATTGTTGAAAGCCACGCCCAACTAATTACAACTTCTTATGTCCCGCAACACATTTACTTTAATTAAGTTATTTGCCCCGCCCAACGAGGGTACATTTCGGTTGGCCAAAATGACAAATGTACCGGCGAGAACGCCTACCGAAAAAACTTTACAGCATCGCGTAAGCAGGTCATAGTTTTTATATGTGCGAGTACATCTTCTGACTGACAGCCCCTCTTCCATGCTCCATCCTCCATTCTCCACCTACTCTGGCCCACCGCTTTTTCGTCCTTTGGCCAGGACTCACTCAGTCCCTGAGGTCTTTGTCCACTTGCCAGGAAAACAAATTTACGGCATTGCTTTTAGTTGTTCCTCGTTATTGTTGTTGCACATTTGAAATGTACATAATAATTCACACTCACTGGGCGGGGGGCGATGGTTGGGAGTGTCGGTGGGGGGTGGTGGGTGGCTGGTGGTGGGGGACCACGCACAAATCTACGCCAAAAGTAAAGTCATAAGAAAATGCATAAAACATGCCCAACATTCGCCGTCAACGTCGCCAACACTTCAGCTGCCTGCCTGCCAGGCAAAAACTTTTCTCATCATCAACCACAAACAAAGGGCAAAACAATGGAGGAGCAAGCGGGATGGCACTACAGGCCAGTGGGAGAGGGGCGAAGGGGGGCCCGAAAAAAGCTGAGACCCGAATCGGTGGACCAGGCCCAAAACATAAATTGCTGCAGGACAGAATGTAGTTCACACTGGGAAAAGTATCTACGAACTTGGTCCATTTTGGTAATACAATATAAAAGTTCCAAGAACGGGAGCATTTGGAAAATTATTAAAAATCGGACTCAAATATGGGAATTTAATTTAAAAATGATTTGAAATATTTATTATTTGATCACATAATAAAATTGATAAAAAGAGTTTCTGTTATCTTTAATGTGAAATTTTTTTTGTTACTCACTTGATTAACGAATAAAGTGATCGACTGAAAATGAAGTTTAGTAGTTGTCTTGAAAAAAGTTACTGTGTAGACAATGGCATTGCCAAACTCCCTCGAAGACCACCCCCAAGATCACGCCCACGCCTACTGCTAGTGCCACGCCCAACCGGCTAAGCCACAACAACTTTGCAGCAATTAAGCTCCGGGCCAGTTCTGACATTGGGCCCAAAGCAAGGCAAAGTACGGCGGGGCGGGGGGGAGAGCAAATAATTTTTAATTGTGCTGCACAATGCTGTAAAATTAATTCATCTTTTTCACACTCAAATAAATTGCTGTTGACGCGACAACAACAACAGCAGTTGGGTGCCGGGCATTGGGTGGTGAATGGTGGGTGGCGGGTGGTGGGTGGCGTGTGGCAGAATGGGAAAGTGGCAGCAAGTTGTTGTCGTCGCCGTCGTCTGCTCAAGAGCGTAAGTAATTACATTTTCTTTGTGCTGTTGCCAAAACGTTGCAATTCCTGCTCTGATGCCCCTTGAACTCGAATCCTCGGCCTTCCTCCGCCACCCACATGTCCCTCATCTGCTGCCTTTGGCTGCAACCTGTCACTTGCCGGTGGCAAAAAGGACAAAAAACGGGTCTAAAACAGCGGTGCCAAGTAAAACAAAACTGCACTGCAGCTGCGCGACGGCATACATGGCGTATACGTAACGTGCTGGAGGAGCAGCAATTTCTTTAATATATTTACGCCCAATGCTTGTAGCAAAACAAACAATGACGCATACAATTTATATTTAATTATGCGCAAATTAGTCTGCTCTACCCCCGCACACACACACACACACACAAACACAAACGCACACACACACTAGCACAAAAACCAAAGCAGTTGAAAGTGTTGGCACATGACAAACACTCGCAACTTTTTGCCCTCATATATAGGGTACCACATGCATATATATAAATAAATGCGGGTCCGGGAACTGCGAGTTGAGTTTTTGTTTACAGTTCAGTTTCGGTCGGATTTTACGCTAATTTCCCTCGCCCAGTTCATTGCGGCCTTGTTGCACTTTTTATTGTATTGCATGCTTGCAAGTAATTTGCCCAAAAGCTAATGAATATTCAGCAGCCGAGAGCAGGCAATAGCTTATAGTTATAACCCCAGCTATGTCATATCCCTTGCACTTAAGGCCAGCCGTATTCTATCCGTTTAAATTATTCAATTTCCTTGCCCCGGCTGCTGTACGGATTTGGATTTGAACACCTCACCAGTCGGACGGCCGAAGGCTGCCACGTGGCAGGTTTAAAAGGTCCCCGGGCGATGGGCCAACTGTGCGTATACGCAATTAATAGAAGCATAAAAAGGATCACAAGGGGAAAGGATACAAGGCGGGCGGAAAGGAATTTTGGAATTTCGAACGATGAAAATACTTTAATGTTGAATTTTAGAAATGTTTGCTGTGCTGCTGTAGTATTATACTTTCAATTAATGAGTCCCCGCATCGATGTACCAAAAAATATATGAATATTCCGCAAGCTCAAATTCTTTTGGCAAGAATCTCTATCGCTGGTTCTACAAACTTTCGAAAAGTGCTTCTGTCGAGAGGAGTTCTTGCCGTGAAGAGTTTAACAATTTAAGTTGTGCAAGAATCTGCACAACTTTGTCAATCGAATAGTTTCGCCAGCAGGAAACTTTAAAGACACACCTCTGGGGAGGTGGCCCGCCCCCTCCTAATTTATCCCGCTTTCCTGGCCAACATTTGCACACTCATTAAACGCTGCACATCAAGTTGGGTCCCCCAAGCCCGCACAATTTATGGCGGCAACTGTGAGTTGCATGCCTCCGTAATTAACTTGTTGTGCCCGCCTCGCATGCAGCACAGTGGGGCGCATAGCGGATGCAGACGGTACAGGTGGCACTGCGGTGGGGGGACTATTATTAGAAGCCCCGAAGCGATGGCAGGAACACTGAATTTATGAATGGCAAACGCTTTGGACCAGTTTCGTAGGGGTGGGTCATGCAAATGCGAATATGCGATACGGCCATACACCGAAAACAAACTCGCAATTCATCGAAAGCTTTTATTTCCTTCAAGGTACTTTGAACCATCGTACTATACTATTCTCAACAGTTAATTTGGTCGTTTCAACCTATTTTCAATAATGGATTAATAGGTTAGTTCACTTTATACAATACAGATATTTTCTTCTTTATTATTTTGTATGATGAAATAATATAACTCCAGCATTTTATGGTATATTTTGTCCTACACAGCAAAATCCTCTATTTTACATATATCTGCTACTTTTTTAATTTTTAAATAATCGTTACAAATTTAGGGTAGCTTTGCATTACTTTGAACCCCTGTGGAATCACTCCCCACATGCCCATTTGATAGAAATTCGCCAACTGTCGT